ACACACCCGAGGAGAAGTGAATGTTCCACAGCTTTGAAGCCTTAATGTCAACCTCGAACAGGATCTTTCCAGCCTTTGGTGTTGCCCTAAGTGGATCATCACTTTCAGATTCTCCCTGGAACAGCGACACCACCCAGTTAGATGAACTCAACAGCGCTCTCCTCCTCTTTCTAGTCAAAGGCAGAGACTTCAAGTAGGCCTCGCCGGAGTCAGGGGTGAAGTCCTCAAGGAGCATAGACTGAACCTCAGCTGGTAGAGCTCGTGTAAAAGGGCACTTCAAGATGGCCTTCAGAAGAACACCTCGCTTTCCGGTCCTTTGGAACTCCTTCAGCAAATCCGTCCAGTCTCTGTTGTCCTCCTTTTTCAAGACCTCCAAGCGAGCCTTCAAGGTTTCAACATGAGAGTTCAGCTCCTGAACCTGGCTCATTTCCAGCTCTCTGATCATATTCAGGGCGTCGCAAGCTGCCACCTCAGGACAGTGGTTCCGCACCTTCACGGTTATGGGGCCTTTCGTGGGGTGTGTCAGCTTCAACTGCTTTGGTCCCCAGCTCAAGGTATAACCCAACTTCTCAATGAGCGCACCCAACGGAACGATCGGCTGCACTGGTTCACCCTGCTCCTTCACTAAGATCGTGCCCTGGTCATTCTGCTTCAAGATACGAACATCTTCTCCAGCAAGGGTCACTTTGACCGGGCTCCCAGAGTTGTACTCCACATTCGAAGCCGGTCTCATTGCATGGCTTGCTCCGCTGTCCAGTAAGCCATCAACACCTTCATCATCATCCTCGCCGCTCTTAATCGACTTCACCATCTCACTGTCGGCCTCAGTAGTCTGGACCCCAAACTTCTTCAGCGTCGTTGCAGACATGGCCTTTAAGACCTTTCCAACATCCGCAAGAACCTCTTTGATCTCCGCCGCGTTGGTTGCTCCATCACTCGCGCCATGGTTTGGCACCGTAACAACCTCAGGTCTTTCATCCACACGAACAGTGCGTGCACTTGTAGTAGATGACGAAGCTTGCGGAGTCGTAGTCCTCTCGCTTCCGTTCTTCGGAGTCCCATTGGTAGAGGTGGCTGGCGACTTCTTAGTGGGGCAATCTCTAGCTGCATGACCCTTGCCTCCGCAAGCCAAACATCTGTCCCTTTTGTCAAGCCCTTCCCAGCTGTGCAGAAAAGGACATTTCCCAGCTCTTGTGCACCCTTTCGCTGACTTTCCAAAGAAACGGCAAGGCACTTCACCCTTCGGCTTCTCATGCTTGTTCCCGTCCTCGCTGGGGGTAGTAGGTGCTGGCGTGGGAGCAGTCTTCGGAGGCGGAGGTGTAGGTGTTGTTTTAGGCTCTGGCCTTATAGGTCTCAACTTTGGTTCCGTTCTTGGCGTAGTCACTGAAACCATCTGCGAACTGGTGGCCGCGACAGCAAGTGCTTCACATTCTGCTACCAAGTGCTTGTAGTAGCTGTCGACTTTTTCGTAGCTGGGGTTTGTGTCGACCTGCAACGTGCTTTTGACCAAAGAAGTTCTAAACGAAGCATCCTGACTCTTTTCCAAGACGGCCTGGGCGATGCGCTGAAGGCCTCTGACGAGGAGGCTTGGATCAGGAGCCTGAACCCCTAAGTCCGTGCACCGGCGCAACCATCGACTCCACGTTCTCAGCGCAGTAACAGCAGCACTCGCTTCTGTCTCTGGATTGGGAGACTGAAGGTTCTGAAGGATCTTTATTTTTTCCCCTCCTGGTTGATACAGAGTGAGGATTCGAAAGACCAATCTCACCGTAGAGCCCGCCAACCTCCGTGCCACCACGTCTTGCCTTACAGAGTCATGCAACGCAGCCATCACCATAGCAGCCGCACGGCTATTCAGCCGGGAAAACCTTCCATCTTCCAAACCAGCAGTCTCTGGGGTGATCGAGAGTCTTTCCATGGGGTTCGCCAAAGACCACGCTGAGTAGGCCTTATTCGCCTCACCGTTCACTCGAAGCCACCAACCTGCACTGCTGTCTGAAAGGTCCGACATCGGACCATGTATCATTTCCAACCAGTCCATCACGTCCACACAAGCAGTGTCAGCACAAACTTCTCGGAGAGCTGGAAGGGTCTGAACGCCTGGCTTGATTGTCTCAGGGGACCTATCACCTTCGTTCTTCTTTCCCATCTGCTCTATCATTGCAGCCTGTAACTGTGCCATTCCATCCGCCAACATTGCTATGGTGCCATCTTGACCCTTTTGTCCTAACCACTTCTGAGCTGAGCTCGGCGACGGACCAGGTAGACCACCTGCTTGTGTGGCATTTGGCAACGGACCAGGTAGACCACCTGCTTGTACATTAACGGTAGGACCAGGTGGTTGTGGTGCTTGATTCCCTCCGGGTACACCATAACTATGATGTGGAAGACCTGGATTGTCTACTGGTACACCAGGACCTTGTACACGCGAACCTTGAAGCCCGGGATGCGCAGCACCACCTTGAAGTTGAAGACCAGGAGCACCTGGAGGTACGACCGGGCTAGGAGGTAGAGGAGGAGGTCTGATAGCACCTTGTCCCTGGACTTCCCGTTGATATTCATTCAAACTCTGTGGTTGAAGAGGGGGTGGAGGTGCGTTACCTGGATCAGCTCCGTGCGTTCCGAGTCCTCGAGGGGCATTAGGTGGTTGTGGTGGATCTTGATTCCCTTCGGGTACACCATAAGTATGAGGTAGAAGACCTTGCGCCACCGTAGGAGCCGCACTTGTCAACCGACTTCTCGCACGCTCTTCATCCCTTTCATACCGAAGCTGCAAAATCTCTCGTTGAAGTCGTTCAACTTCTTGTTGCTGCTTCACCTTATACTCCTCAAGCTGTCGTTGAACTTCCGCTTGGAGTCTCGAAGATCGCTCTGAATCACCCTCCGATCCCTGACCTTGTGGCCTTCCGTAGATCATAGGAAAATCTCTCTGAGCTTGATGCATCCTCGCCAACTCCACCGGGCCGAAAAGTGGGCCCTCAATCGCCGGAGGAGTGGACCACGAGCCTGGAATGGCAGGCACCTGAGTTGCAGGTGGCGAAGGAAGTGCTTCCGGAGGAGAAAAGTTCATCGGCACATTGGTCACAGTAGCTTCAACTGTACGATGCTCTCTATGTTGGGAAACATTGGTGATTCCCAAACCATCCAGAACTCTGTCCATTCCATTGGCACTCCTCGACGCTGTCATCCTCAGCAGTTCAGTAAACCTTGCCATCCATCTTACACCTTGACTTTCATGTGGTGTACCAGTGTGCGCGGTGTAAAACTCCTGGACCCTCATTGCCGAACCTGTAGGTGAAGACAAACCTTGCATCCCCACTGAAGTCGCAGCACGATCCTGGTTTATAACGCTCGCGCCCTGATGCGGAAGCTCATGATACGGCGGCTCAACTGTGGTAGGTTGAGGCATCTGGTTGGGTGGTGCCACATTGCTTCTTGCTCCAGTTCTATCCTCCAGCCGTCCCACATCTGAAGCATTCGGATTTTCCAACGCTCCATAACTCGGTAAAGCCGGTGGGGCCGTAGCTTGCACTGGGTCCACACCATTCATCATTGTCTGCCCTTCTCTCACAACACCGTGTTCTGAACTTCGCCCTGTTGCGGAGTCGCCCACCGAAGCTTGGACGCTCATAACCTGTAGGACTTGATAGTCCGGGTATCGAATTGGTTCACAGAAGCCGCAATACAGTTCAAGGTCTTAAGCAATCAGCGCCAAGAAACCATGGGCAGGCAACTGCTAGAATCACTTTTTGTCGCAAAGAACTGACCACTGCTCTGGACGGCATCTGCATGCTTTTCTATACTGCTTTACAATGCGAATGCATGCCGACTGCTGGCCTTAGGTCCATGTTCCGCAAGCTTGATCTTAAGCCACGGATAAAAAACATCACCGACGTTCCTCAGACACTGGAGAGAGCATGTTCTTTCACACTAGTATAGGGGCCTGAATAATTACCTATAGTATTCTGACGGTTTCCTTATTGTAATTATGGTATATGGGGCCCCAAAACCCTATTCTAATTCTATAAGGGTAGAGGGTTTAGGGTCTACTTGGAGGTTCATGGAAAGTGATAAGGGTTCGTTTAAGGGTCCCTTGAAAGGGCTCTACATATAGGGATTCTATAAGGGTATAGGGTTTAGGGCTCTACTTGGAGATCCATGGAAAGTGATAAGGGTTCCTTTAAGGGTCCCTTGAAAGGGCTCCAAAAGGGATTCTATAAGGGTATAGGGTTTAGAGTCTACCTGGAGGTTCATGGGTAGTTATAAGTAGGGTTATAAGTAAGGTAACTATAGTTATAACCCATATTAGGGGGCTTTTATCCCCAGTTATAACTGCCCATGAACCTCCAAGTAATCACCTGCGAATCATACACTTCCATAGACAGTAACGTGCAAGACATTGCGATCCTAAGATTCTAACCTCAAATACCTGCTTGCTAGTACTTGATATAAACCAAACCCCAGAGCAGTGGCAGCCTAGGCGGGAAACAAGTAGGAGTTTCCGAAAATCTGGGGCACCTTAATTGGGGGTCCTTCTAATAAGGATCCTACTGTGTAGGGAACTATATTAGGATTATTAGGGTCGCCATTTTCGGAAACCCCCAAGCAGGGATCCTCAGCCTGCCTCGGACTAGGTTGGCGGGATGTTCATGCCAGCGGTTCTCAACAGCAGGGGTCGTCGTACACAGCGATGCCTGTGAGAATTAAGCAAAAGTTCCTTCCCAATCCCCACTACAATTATAAAGGCTTCTGTATTGGATCCCTTATAGAAAACTTTAAAGCGGCCTTTTTGAGGAACGTTCTAGAGGAACCCAATGCTAGTTCTTAAGGCCTCTCTATGAAAGACCCAAATTCAAAGCTTCCGTGGTGCACCAGTGTATAAGGTTCAAGAGTTAGAGTTCGGGGCATATTGGCTTATCAAGTTGAGGAAATTTCACATCCCGTTTCGGAGTTTAGGGGAGTGGTGTGTGTGTGTGTGTGTCATGAGACATTCATGGCAGGTATTGGCTTCAAGTCCGTCTTCTGCGCCACATCTACTCCAATCGTGCACTCGGGACCTTTCCATTTCCACTTTGACTCAGAAGCTCTGGGCGGACTTGGATATCTGAGCCTTGTCGGGACTGATCTTGGGGCTAAGGGTTCGGGCGCATCGGGTTTAGGGATTTAGGTTTGGGGTTTAGGGGGATACTGGTTGTTCCGGGAGAGAGAAGCACACGCAACAGGGGAATATTGGCGATAAATGATACCTCGTCTGCCTGAATCTCAGGATTCCGTTCCCACTGGGTCGTCCGAACGGCTTCCATCTCGGAACGCGACTTGCGCCTGGCCTTTCACTCTGCCCAGTTACGTGTACCTAATTCCCTGAGCCCTTACTAAATTGGGGGTTCCTTGTTTTTGTCTGAAACCCTTATATATATATGTATACATATATACATATATACATTGGGTTACTGGGTTATGGGTGCTATCAAGGGTTTACGTGGGTTTTAGAGGGCATTGTAGCCCATTTTACAGGCAAGTGGACTTTTCGACTTCCTCTGTATGCGGTTTAGGGTCAGGGTCTATTACAGTAAAAGCCAGAAAGTTGGAATATGATTATCCTAAACCCTTTATGGTAAAATATAGTGTATCCTACCCTGAAACCATATTCCAACTTTCTGGAGATCCCTTTTTGGGGTTTTGGGGCTCAGGGTTATTTCTTTGCATTAAAGCTGTGCGGGCCTTAGGTTTTACAGGCTTGAGGTGCTTTAGACGCCCAGGTACCTACACAAGGAGGTACTGCGCCATGCTTTATCAGAACATCACGAATGCGAACACCCCAAACCGTAAGCCCTAAACCCGGGATGTACTAAACCCTTGGAATCCGTGCCTGCCTTGCGATCGTGCAAGTCGCAAGTTCTAAAACCTAGACCCGAACCTGCTGTCTAGGTACTTGGACTTTCTATGAGACGTCGAATAACGCAGAGTTCCACGTTATACTTACTGACACTGTATTCCACCCCAGAACCCTATTCTAATTAGTAAGTCATTTGCATTATCCCGTTTGCCTCCAAGGTGCTTCCTCTCTACGACCAGCCCACCACCGACCTGTGTCGACGAATTGTGGAGGCACGTGGATGATGGGGTTCAAGCTTGCGTGGGCTTTACCTGGAGGGTCACACCTATACCCCTTTGGGGGGACACATAGTCTTATGATTACCTATAGTCTCCATTGTAATTCCGTTTCTTGGTTCAGCCAATGATGTACTAAGGATCCCAAAAGGTAATCCCAAAAAAGGGAACTACAACGGAGACTACAGGTAGTATCTGCTCTGTAGAAAAGTATATGTACCCAAATACCCAAATAAAGGCGCAGAGCATGACAAGCTGGAACTGGGGGACTTAGAGTCGAGGTCTCTACTTTGAGCTTCATGGGTAGTCATAAGAGCTCCTTTAAGGGTACCTTTAAAGGGCTCTATAGGGATTCTATAAGGGTATTGGGTTTAGGGTCTACTTGGAGGCTCATGGGTAGTTAATAAGTAGGCTTATAAGCAGGGTAACTATACTTATAACCCATATGAGGGGACTTATAGAAAGCCCATCTATAACCACCCACGAACCTCCAAGTAGGGCTCATGGCATATGGCGTTGAGGATTTAGGGTGCCTAGTGCCTGGGGCTTAACGTCGCGGGAGGGTGGGCTTTTGGGGCTGTTGGGGATCGGAGTCTTGGGCTGTAGACATATTGGGGGAAATATTTTTTTTACTAAACATATTGGGTAAGACTATACATGTGTTCGAGGTGTAGGCCCTGTAGGCTTTAAAGTCTGAATTTAGGGTGTTCTTGCATTATGGGAGTTAAGAGTTTAGAGCTTCGGGTTCGGCTCATTCAGGGTGTCAGGTTCAAGCTTTTCGATGTCTCATGTCGATCAGAAGAAAGGTTTTATTTCATGGTATCAGGTTCTAGCTGGAGATTCCTAGTGGTGTTACATGAGGTTTCCGGTATCGGGTTTCATACGGAAATAGTAGGGTCCAGGGAAAAGAAATTTTTGGCAACGACATGCTCTAGTAGAAAGATGGCCCTCCGAGTCCTTGAGCGCTGTCTTGTCAAATGTTCCTTGGACCCGAAAGGCCGCGAGGTTGCACCTTGTTAGACGCGAGTCACCAACTGTGATTTTCATTACCCAAATTCTTGAACCTCTGACACTTGAAGAACCTGCAGACCCTAGTGGAGAAAAGTGCAGCCTGAAAGACACGGAAGCTTCACCTCTACAGCAATCCCTAAGGCTCCATGTACCCATATAGTTTATACTTAGGCCTTAAAGTGCCTATATAGGGACCCCTTTAAGGCCGAAGTATCTATAAAGGTACATGGAGCCTTTGGGAATGCTGTGTCAAGGATCTGAAGCCGGAGCTCTTGCTCTTCTTGCGGAAGCTGGAGGCCTTTTGGAGCCCAGCTGCGGATGTTATGTGATGCTTCAGGGCGCAAGTCCACCCCTAAGGATTTCACAAATTACCTGATACACTAATAGTATAATATATGCTCAAGTCTTGAAGTCTCCGCCTACATAAGAACGCTTCTGGGCTCTGAGTGCAAAGGTTCAGGGTTCAGCCCTACACCCTCAATCGGGCGCGCAGGAGATCAGAGTGGTGGACAGCCAATCACAAGTGGAGCGAGTGATACGCAAAGAGTCTGCCAGCGATGGGACCAACGACAATGCCACTTGGACATCTAGCAGCAAATCTTTCTCAATGTGAAGAGTAGTGGCATGAGGTTGGTGTACAACCCAACTTTTTTTCCTGACAGCGAGAAGTGGAGCATGACAAGTTTTCGGGACAACAGTCCAGGACTCTAGGATGAGATTCGTCTGCAAGCTTATCACTACTGTCTGGATTGGTCCCCTTGCTAGTATCCCTTCAAGGATTGATTGAGCGCTTGATTGAGCATTGCTGGCAGGTGAAGCTTTTGGCTCAGACCCTGGGCGTGGCGCCCGAGGAGAAGACGTCAACGTCAACACAAGAATGGCATGTCCACAGACACCAGGATGGTTTTATCCCATAAACCTTCCACCCAAACCCGACATCCACACCTATTCCTGCATTAGCCAGTAGATAGGGCTGCGGGTACCTCGGCACTCGGCCTGGGATTTGCCCATACCATGCAACATGGGTTTAAACCAACCCAGGTCCTTGAATCGCCAGGGTCATGACACTTTGCCTTCAGGTTTCTACCCGGGGTGAAGTGGGAAATCTGAACCCGGATCTAGCGGAGTCGAACTGCTAACTTACGCAAAGTTAGCATAAAGGCTCAGAATTTGTGACCAAAAGAGTCCTATTGGGCTCCAATCGACTTGTCTTCCCGACTCCTATCTCCCGTCAGCGGCGCTTCGCCGAGGGTTTCTCACAATCTGGAGGGGGTTCAGAGTTTTCGGGGTTCGCATGCGACATTTGCCGGTGAAGTCTAGGGTTGCACACCCAACTCCATTCGTAGGGTTTCGGACATGACAAGAAATCAGGGTTGCCCACTGATTGTTTTTCCAGATTCTAGGTTTGGTGTTCGCCGACAAGCACGTCCCCACAGGGCTCCATGGTTTCCCGTGTAAAATTTCCTTCGTTCTTCCTACCCAGCATTTGTTTGCATGCATGGTTAGCCCGCTAACATGTCTTGCAGTGTGGAGGTCCATGGTTGGTTATAAGTAGGCCAGGGTTATAAGTAGGGTAACTAAATATACTTATGACCCATACTAGGAGGCTTCTATATAACCCCACTTGTAACTGGCCATGAACCTCCAAGCCCAATGGGTCCAAAGTACCCATATAGTAGAATCTAGGGTTTCCATACTAGGAATTTCTAGTATGATTTGGGGAAGTTTCCCCTATAACAGTACTTATAACACCCTTTGGGAAGTGATCCCGAGCCTGAAAGTCGCTGAGGAAAGCCCGTGAGCTTGCCAAAGGCACTGGCACGCGACGGGCAAAGGCCAGGGCAAGAAAAATCAAAGGGGAAAAGGAGGGACCCTTAATGGGGACCCTGACCCTATAATGGGCCATATTATAATGGGTATATAATAGCTATATTAAGGGTATATACCTAGGGGTCCTTATTAAGGGTCCCTCCTTTTACCCTTGGACAAAGCATTTCCCGGCGGAGTCTGGTTTCTACAAGAGCGTTTCCAGAAATAGGGGACCCTAATATAGTACCCGAAATAGTAGGATGCTTATTATAAGGACCCCAAAACAAGGTACTCCCCCATTTCGGGAAACTCCCACAAGGGCTTTCGGGTTCAACCGTGAGGGGTGAGAGATTCATGACCAAGTTTGTTCGCAACTGTAGCTGTCGTGCTTGTAGGCCTGTGAGCGTGGGCGGCGAGAGTCCCCCTGACCATCAACCGCCCGAGGCAGCCTTACAACTGCGCACCCCGAGGGTGAATCACCGAGCCTTCATCAAACCTGGATGCTTCACAGCGATGTTAGGAACTTGTAAACCAAACATAGAATGTGACCTTTTTGCCGGAAGCCCTGCACCACCGCCCCATAAACCCTCAGCCCAAAACTCATCAGGCGCCTCGAAGCCTAGAGCTTAAGCATCCTTGCGACCCGTGGAAAGTCCAAGATCGGCAGGGCAACTGACTTGCAGATTGCTTTCTGCCAGACCACTGAGAGGCTTTAGCTGCAAGTGCTGCAGGGCCAGGAGGGGTCTGAAGGCTTTGACTGGGTGGCAATTTGGGAAGCCTTGTAATTTCCCTTTATGGTCCCTATAGACGTACCTGTCCATAAATCCATAAATACTTTTCAGAGCCCCAAAACTACAACCCAGTTGATTTGATTTGAGCTTTAAGGCTGACGCTATTGCTGCTCCAACTACTGCGACGACGACTGCTGCAGCATCTGCTGTTTGCTACTGGTACTGCTAGTGCTGCTACTTCTACTCTGTACTACTGCTACGATGGCGGCGAGTAGGCTAAATGGTCCCTGTTAATCGAGCCATGCTGTTTACAAAGATTTGCTTAGTTTACATAACTCCTTCAGAAATTGAGCGTTTAGTTTCCTGGGAGGAACTATGAAATCGGCAACTGCAAAACAAAGCCAAGATGCTTAGGATGTCAAAGCTCCGAGCCGCAAATGAGCAACAAACTGAAGTTGCCACCTGCCAAGTACAAGCATGCAGCGCAACTTTAAGTTCCAGAGATCCGGCAGAACTCATGAACATCCCTACAAGCCATAAACCGTAAACTCCTAATCCCCAACCCTCAACCCTAGCCCGATACTCTCAACCCCCTACCCCCATAATTACCCTAAACCCTGAACCTCTACAGTAACCCTTATAGACCCCCTCGAAGAAACCTTGAAGGAACCCTTAGAGGAACCCCTAAACCCTCAACCAGCCCTGGGCGCTTTCCGAAGTACGGAGACAACCCAACCATTAAAGGAGCCAGGGAAGATGATAATCCCTATTAAATAAGGAGCTAAAGAGCCAAGGGAACCCCCAAAACCACTGGTTAGCAAGGGTCCCGAAGCCCTTAAAAAACCCTAAACCCTAAACCCTAAAGGACCCTAAACCCTAAAACGTCCCAAGAACTAGGGTTTGGGGTCCCTTTTGTGTGGGGTCTTATGGTCGTTTGTCCGGAAGGCGTTCTGCTGTCAAAACCATGATGAAGTATGTGTGTGTAGTTGGTGCTGGCTTGTCGTACATGGTACTTGACAGTATATTCCCTTGTCTGAAACGAGGCTGAGGGAACTCATGATCCAAGCATCTGGTGATACGTGCCAGTTGTAAGTTAACGAATGACCAGGATCGCTATAGACCTTGCCAGGCTTTGTCCGAGTGTGAGTGTCAAAAAAAACGTCCCAAGTACGGGGGACCAGGAACGTCATGGAACAGCGCCCGGCCTTTGCTTGGCTGCCCTTGCGCTCCTATGGGCGTCTCTGAGGTATATAATCCTAGGGTTCCGTTAAAGGGTTACTATACGGCTACTATAAGGGTTCCTTTAACGACATACTATAAGGGTTCCTTTTAAGGGTTTCTATAAGGGTCCTTTCAAGGGTTACTATGAGGGTACTATAAGGGTTCCTTGAAAGGGTTACTATAAGGGCACTATGAGGTATAACCCTAAGGCTCCAAATAGCCCAAAGTAGGTAACATACACAGACTTTAGATGCCAAGGTAGCTATGATTTGTACACTTGGAGCCCTAGGGTAAGGTTAAGACGTATGGGAGATTCCGAAAATTAGGGCTACCTTGTTTTGGGGTCATTATAATAAGGATCCTACCATTTGAGGGGACTCTGTCAAAGTCCCTATTTTCGGAAACCCCCATATACTGTGTAAATATAAATGGAACAGTATGTGTATGGTATAATAAGCTGTAGAAAGGTGGTAACAACAAAAACACTAGTGAGAAGACTAGTATGAAATAAATGTCACAAAATAACGATCGAATGATATCAGAATGAGAGTTTGTATCATGTACAAACATGTAACAGTCTAGCACTAGAAAAAATCATATCAGTATATGGCTTAGATATGATAGAAAGTGTAAAGTCGAACTCAGGTTTCGGTTCATCTTGCAAGCAGACTGGGCCGTGCCATCCTCGCGGGAAGCCATCCTCGCAGAAAACCAGCTGAACCAATGCTTGAGGTCGCTTGGCGGGTCCTGAGTTATTTCGAGCAGCCTGTTGTGGAATCTGTAGCACTTGGAGGTTCATGGGTAGTTAGAAGTGGGGTTACAGGTTACGCAGGGGAACATGGGCCAAAGTACAGAATACTTAAGTGCACCGTGCTGATATGCCGGCCATAAATTATTTCCTGCGCCCAGCTTCGCCATCTGAATCTGCCGTGCCGGCAAGGAACCCTTAGGTACCTCCTACTTTCGGAAATTCTAAACCCTAAAGCCCTAAACCAAAACCCTAAACCCTAAGCCAGGCGTGAGCTCCCCAACGTCTTCTGCAACTTGATTGAGGCGCCGGCGTGATTCGTATTCCTTGGGGCTCCTTTTTCTCATGATACTACAATATACCCAGCAAGACTTAGAATCTAAGTATTTTTATTAAGGCCGCTACTACAGGGGCTTCTCAAAATTCTAGTTTCAACCCCGAGGATGCTGTCGAATTTGCATGAAGTCCCTGTCTGAAGATATAGGGGTTTCCGAAAATTAGGGGTACCTTATTTTGGGGTTTATGGATCCCTACTATTCAGGGTACTATATTAGGGTCCCCCTGTTTTCAGGAAACTCCAATTTGCATGCAGTCCCGTTCTGAAGACCTTGCTTTTGAACCCATCGACCAACTTCGTGCTTCGCATATCGGAAGAATCTTTGCATAGGTTTCCAGGCGAAGATACGACCATCACGAGCAATTACTGATTACGATGGCATACAACAACATGCCATGTGTTATTTGCTAACTTGCCCGAAGTCCTGATCGGTCTGTGTGCGTGCGGAGGTTCTTGCTTCCAATGCCCTGAAGCTGCCGGACATCACTCAGCAGCTGAGTCTTGGCGTCACAAAAACCATGGGCGGCAACGATTCCACGACAAGGAGCACTTTCACTCCACAGAGCTATTGTGAAAATGTAAGTTGATACCCTATAAACCCTAACCCTACACCTCCGCACTTATTTGGCGCAGTGGCTCTATAAAAAATTGGGTCAGACTAGCGTCATGACTCTTGAAGCGAGATGCGATGTGGGAACAGAGATGACGCCTCTGCGTGAAGGCCCGAGACGTTAATGATGACCTTCACTCAAACTTTTAATATATATATATATATATAATACACATGCATGCACGTGTACATAAAATATGTATATATGTATATACATACATATATTGACGCGGCACTGTGTGGCAAAATATTGCAATTTTGTAGGGCGAACGAATGTCGCAGTAGTTGGGACTGACTAACCCATTCGCCTAAGGGTCCATGTACCATGACGGGTGTAGTACACATGTTGGCCTTAAAGCAGTCATTATTTAGGTACTGTAGGGCCAAAGAGCCTGCTTACAATCAGAGCATCTATTTGAAGCACACCGTACTCATCACAAGACCCACCATTTCTGTAGGCCCATTCTGCCATAAGAGGGCTACGGAATTGCTTCTATTCTGTGGAGGTTGGTATTTCACGAGCTTGCAGATGAAGGGTCTGGGGAGGATCGGGATACAGCAGTAGCTTGGCTTTAATTCTTTTCGTCGAACCCTAAGTGCAGCAGACTCTTCCTGAGCTTAACTCCCAATTCCGATCCCTGAAACGTTGAGCCTGAACCCTTAGTCTTATGCTTCTGTACCCAAAGAGCTGAAGCTTTTTGAACATAAACCTTGAAGTCCTGAGGATCGCATTCAAGCGCATCTATGCACTGATTCCCCTTCCCGGCGAGACTGCAGATTTCTTTGCGGAGTCCCCCCGGAGCGTTGTGCATGTGCCTTGGACTCGGACGTGATCCAACGGTTTGGTGCTGAGGGTAAAACAGTACTTCGAACAAGATGTTGAGGGTGTTGAGGTTTCCATCTATTCACGTCCCTTGGCATCCAGATGTTGACCATGGCAAATGATCACGCAGGTTCTTTCGAAACGGAACTTCGTGCTGGCGTTTGACAAGGGCAGCTACCAGTTGGTTTCGCCCACGGAGGTTGTTCGCCCGGAGCTTCCAAAGGGCGTTGATACGCACTTGAGCGCGGAGGTCAAGAAAGAGCTGCTTGCCATTGATCCTGTGCCCTTAACCCGGCCCACTAAGCCCCAAGCTAAAGCCGGCTTCTGTCAAACACCTTGATCGAGCAGGTTAAGGGAAAGATGCGCGACTAAGGCTGGAGGGAGTGCTGAACCGGGGCAGACGTTACATCCCGGCCGAAGCCTTGAGTGGCCAGCTTGCTGCAGCTCTTCACATACCAGACCTCAATGACGGCATCGCTTTCGAGTGTCCCTGGGCTACTTACGAGGGTTTGTCCGAGGCTCCCCAACGTGAGCCCTTGTCAGCCGGATTCTGATATTATGTTACATCATGTCTATTACTACGTTATATTGATGCATTACCTCATAATTATTGCTTAAATATAACATCATATGATAGCAGGTACTGCACTGTAAACGTGGGCCTTGCGATGACCTGCACGGTGTCATTGTATATTCGGGCCTACCTGCCTCCCTAACATTTAGCCTTAGCACCCACAGCCGTATAAAACAACAAAAAAACTTCAACAAAGCACGGATCACCAAAAGATGTGCGTTCGGTCGTTAGGGGTTTAGGGGTATGCAGGGGTTTGGGGTTTGGGTTCTTGAATAAAACCCCAAACCCACAGCTCCAAAAACAAAGCCTAAGCCCTTCATAGACCGCGAGGCCTAAGCCGACTCTCCCGGGAGGACAAGGACTGGTCACCGAAATTTGTATTTTTAATTCCTCAACCCTTAAATCTCTAAACAGCTGAACATGACCCCTAAACCCTTAAAAACCTGAACCCTCCAACCCTCTGAGCCCCAAATCCTAAACCAGGACAAACCTGCGAGGACAAGGTCTGATGCCGACCTCGGCTGCTCGCAGATCAGTCGGGTTCGGGTTCTCAGCGTTTGAAAGGTTTTCCGAGGTTTAGCGGTATGTAAGGGTTTGGGTTGGAAGGTGTTAGAAGCGGTTGGGCTTTAGGGCTTCTGTGTGTGTGTGTATATGTTTTTTCCCTGGGCTTAGGGGGTATGTCACGGGGCTTCTGGGTTTAGGGGTTTGGGTTCCAAGCGTTTGAGGGCTTTAGGTTGTGTTTACGGATTCTCGGGCATTTAGCGTTGTTGCTTGGGCATAATTTAGGTCTTCATGGTTCTGTTGATTGTTTGTGGTTGAGGCTTAGGTCTTGCAGGGTGTTCAGCGTGGTTCTTGTTAGCGAGTTTATCGTTTGATGTTATTCTAACTTATTAAAACTTCCTTTACCAAGAACCCCTTGGATAGCCAGTGGGAAAGCTTAACCCGCCCTACAATTTTGGTCTATCGCAGAAAGCTTGAACTTTTTTGTGGGGGCACGGCTATTGAAGAGGCGAAACTACCATACATATATATATATATATATATATATATATACATAAACTTTGGGGGGGACGGTTATTGAAGAGGCGAAATTACCATACATATATATGGTCAGGCGTCTGGCGTTCCCAGCCCCCCCCCCCCCCAATGGTATGGTCTGACAGGGGTGGGGGGGGGGGGGTGGGCTGGCGTGTGCGGAAAGGGGTTGGGGCCGTTGGAGCTGCCACTGGATGGTGGGGTGGTGCTGGCGGCCAGGGCTCACGCGCAAGCCCTTCGCAAGCAAGCCGTAAACCTTATGACGCAGCGCTTGCCCCGTTTTGAGCAACCTTAACTTGTACTTAAAACGCTACACCCAACCCCACCCAACCCTAAACCCCACCTAAGTGCAGGCTCTAAGCCTAAAGCAGAGCATACACCGCAAATCCTCCCTAAGCCCTTGTCGACTCGAAGCCTTATACCTTGTAACCGTAAACCCAAAACTCAAAAGCTTAAGCTAAACCCTAAACCCCAAAACCCCACAACCACCCCACAGGGGGAAGAGGAACCCCACACCCCACACCACAGGGGGGGGGGGGGGGGGGGCTGCGGAGCGCGTGACCATATATACATGGTCCCCCCCCCCCCCATGACAGACCATCCCCTTCAAAACATCGCTCCCACCGGCGTGTTCGTGCTTTTTCCGGGGTATCGAGTTTGAGCCCTCCGAACGTATCTGTGGAACCACCAAAAGACTGAGACCCGTTGACAGACCATGCCCTTTCAACTCAGTCGTAGCGCATGGTCTGTGATCGGGGGGAGGTGGCACTCAGCTTTCAAAAACTCAATTCCAAAATTTCCAAAATTCTCTCCCCTAACTTTCCGGATTTCCAAAATTTCCAAAATTTCCAAAAATTCCGAAATTTCCAAAATTTCCAAAAAGTCCGCCCTTATGTTTTGGAAAAATCCTGTCGGCTAGGTCGGGCCGTTTTGGAAATTTTGGAATTTTGGGAAATTTTGGAAATTTCGGAAATTTTGGAAATTTTGGAAATTTTGGAAATTTTGGAAATTTTGGAATTTTTGGAAATTTTGGAAATTTTGGAAATTTCGGAAATTTCGGAGATTTCGGAGATTTTGGAAATTTTGGAAATTTTGGAACTTCTGGAATTGATTTTCAATGGGCTGATTGTGACCCATCGGATGACAGACCATGCACTACGACTCACTTGCAAAGGCAAGGTCTGTTTAGACGATTGTCAGTGTTTATCTATTTTTCTGAATTGGTACTCCTACGAATACTATTACCAATACTCATTCTGACATTGATCATTTGCTGACTGCCCAAGCTAATACCAGCATTAACACTAATATTTACACTTTTTCAAGCCAATACGAATAGGCACCATACAAATAACAAATACTAATAATGATTAATACTGACGTTCATACTCCTACGCATATCAATAATTATGCGCATATTGGTAGTAGTGTATTTTGATTTCAATACTAATACACCTGCATATACCAATGTACATAAATATACATACCACTATATTAAAGTACAAATACATTAGCTCATGCATTTATTTATCTGTTAGTATTTTCATGTAATCACGAGTAATACTAATATAAGACAAACGTTCATGCGAATACATAACCTCATTTTAATATTAGCACTCGCACTAGCACTATTACTAATACCAATCACACTGTTTATACCAACACCAAGATTTACATAAGTATTGATACTCCTGCGGATACTACTGCGTATACTCTTATGCTGTTAACAGTAATGCTGTCACCAATACTAATACTGACATTGATAACTTGCTGAATATTCAAGATAATGCCAGTATTAATACCATTATTAACACTTATACTAAGGCTAATGCGACTATGGATAATCCTAATACGAATATTAACATTAATACTCCTACGAATACCAATAGTCATATTCATATTGATGTGAAGACTAATACCATTACAAAAGACACGTGCATATGCTAATGCACACCAGAACACATACCATTAACTTAAAATGCCGATATATATCAATGCATTCATGTACTGATGTTTTCGGACAAGCATATACCCATATACCAATGTAACAATACACTACTTGTTAATGTGTGAATATACTATACTAGTATGCTATTATACTAGTATGCTACTATACTAGTATGCGACTACTGTAATATGCAAGTATACCGACGTGGCAGGTTAGTGTACTAATATGACAACATACTGATACACTTATAAATCTTTAGACAATACACGTATATTGCATATGCTAGTATACTAATACACTAATGTACGAATATACTGGTATGTTAATATACTAATATATTAATACAGCAATATACTAGTTTACTCATGCATCAGTTGTACTAAAGTATTAAATCTACGATTATGCAAGTATACAAATATGTTGCCTCTCGAACACATCAATGTGGTGATATACTAACCTGCTGATATACGAAACTATCAGAATAGTAACATATCGAAACTAACTCTAATTTTGATACCAATACTAGCACCTCTGCCATTATTAACTGATATTAAACCCAGCATGAAGACTGATACTAATACTAGCAGTGGTACTATTACTGGCATTGACACTGGCACTAACACTAAGACTAAAACGAAGATGAGCACTAACATTAATGTATACTTACTACTGTCGATATACATATATATATATATATATATACATACTTACAGTAAACACTAATACTATTGCTGATACTAATACTAATACCAATATTAATACTCATACTCATCCTATATCAATGCTACCACAAAACTCATAACTCACGTGTCGCGCATCTGGTCCATGCGTCCTCAGTACATGGCATGTTAAAAGTGTACTTGGTATATGTACTGTAAAGGATTTGCTTTACAGATTGTCGTCATGTGTGGTGTGTTTAGATGCAATATCTCAGCCTAGTCACCGAACGAGAGTACACTATCACAAGGGCATGGTCTGTCAACGGGGGGGGGTGAGCATATATATATATATATATATCAGTTCAATACATGTATATGTTTTTTAACACATCAATGCCACTTAATCTGGGTTCCTGAAGAAGACGCCAGTGTTCGGGGTTCATGGTTTCGGGCTTGGAGCTTCAGAGCAGGGGCTTCCCGGGTCGTAGGCGATCTTCAAGCTGGCTGATAATCGGTAAGAGTAAATGGGGGGAGGTTCAGGGGTAGTTATAAGTAGGGTTCCTTTAAAGGGGTGTATAGGGTTATAGGGTTTAGGGATGTTTAGGGGTTAGGGTTCAGGGGTAGTTATCAGTGGGCGTATAAGTCTGGTAGATACGCTTATTAACCCATATGATAGAGGACTTATAGCCCCATTAATAACTACCCGTGAACCTCCAAGTAGTCAGTCATAGGTAATAGATAGTACTATGACCACTACTGCGGTTGATGATTTAAATCATTACCCATACTATGGAATGTACCAGAGTTCCTATAGTTCAGGGTCATTAAGGTAATGCAGGATTTATATCATCAGCAGTACCACTGCTACTACTATTACTAAGAGCCACAATCTCACAAACAGTACGAAGAGTACAGTACGACTTACCATGAAGAGGGCCCAGAACAAGAGCTGTTCTACATTATATCGGCCCTGACAGGGGAATAGCCCAGAAATCATCCGCCAAGCATGAGTCTTTCATCAGCTCAGAGGGATACGTGTTATCTCCGAAAACGGGCAGTTTTAGGAGCAGGGTTTCAAGCTTCATGACACTTCGAAGAGAATAATATTGCATGTGGTTTTCTTAGTTCCTTCAGGAGAGCTAGTTTGCAGATGTGGCTCACCCTAAACCCTAAACCCCTAAACCCTGATTCATGGACTTCTGGCTGGTCCTGACGACGAAGGAACCCAGTTCCTTGCTTCGGCAGGGAACCTACACAGATTGCATACGTAAACATAGGTTGATGTACAGATACGTACAGACATACGTATGTACATACATACCTAGCGAGGAAGACAGAGAGGCAGAGAGAGAGAGAGTGTGTGTGTGTGTGTGTGTGTGCTCGTGTGTTTGTCCAGGGGTTCAGGGGACTTAAGGCGCGAGCGGGGTTTTGACAAGCCGTACATGTCCGGGAAGGCGCGAGGAGAGAGCCAGAGAGATATGCAAACGGTGCAATTATCACCTTCCCGCCACGTCCAATTCTGCATGCATGGTTTGTGTCTCTGCAGATGTATTTCTGGACATCGGGCTTTGGGTTCAAATGATAGCTGCCTCCGGAGCTTCGCAGAGTCATTTCTGGGTTCCATCTAAGACACGCAGTCCTGCTGATAGTTTCACTTTGTAGGGCTACTATACTTCGAGGTTCAGGGGTAGTTATAAGGGTTGTAAGTAGGGCAACCATACCTATAATCCATAATAGGGGACTTATAACCCCACTTATAACTACCCATGAACCTCCAAGTAGCGGCCTGCGGTTCAGCATTGCGCAAAGAGCAGGTTGAGACACATCGTCTCAGCGTGGAACTGGGCAACTGAGGCTTGATCCACCTGCTGTTCCATGTCGTGGCATCGAACACTGCCACCTGCTTGGTTAAAGATGCAGTATCACTAGGAAGCTAAAGTCGAGATTTGTTTGAGGCAGACTCGCCCAGCCTCAATTTCCAATCGTTAGACTGTCGTTGAAGTTTGGGCCGCGTGAAAGCGGAGACACGGCCTCGAGTGCCATGTGCGCGTTTCTATGTTCCAAGGTGTATAATATGTAGGGGTAGAATATGTGCCAGTACAATATTCCTGAGGGTTCCCAATTATATTTATCTGGTGTGCCCCAAAGCTCTATCGAAGTTTTAAGGCTTCTTTATAATGCGAGTTATAAGAGTAGTACGAGCAAGCAAGGCCCAGCCGGCGCTGATGCAAAATCTCCGCAAGCTGGCAGCCATCCCGACAGAGAGTGGCAAGTTGCATTCAGCAGCAGACAAAGTGCACCTTGGATGCCCTATATAAACCCTTCTTGGAGGTTCATGGGTAGTTGTAGGTAGGGTTAGACCTAAGGTAACTATACTTATAACCCATATTAGGGGACTTATAACCCCACTTCTAGCTACCCATGAACCTCCAAGTTCAGAACTTAAACTCTTCCACTAAGAATCCCCTCAGCCCTATAAACCTTCAACCCTAAGCCGTAAGCCCTAAACCCTCGACCCTTAGCCGCAAGACCTGAACCCTTCACTGCATTGCCAGGGCGAGGTTCAGGACTATAGGTGAAAGCCGGTGAAACGGTTGATGATATAAATCATGCATTACCCATAATAAGGAGTATACCATAATTCCCATAGCTTAGGGTCCTCAAGGTAATGCAGGATTTATACCATGCACCGAAGCAGTAAACGTAGAAGCCTAAGAAGTTAGCTTCGGATATTTACATCTCTGGACGATTATGTAGAGTAGCAGCTGTGGGGGTTTATTCTGTCTAGTCTTTTGAGGACTATCCGGGCGCTACGATATTGATTGTTATTCAAAGCAACAAACCAGGTACATGGTGGACGAAGCCATGGCGAAGACTCTGCAGGGCTACGCTGAGGGGCTGAACCTACGATTTCGGCGCATGATGCATGCGAAAGTGGCTCGGGGCTTTGTAACATTTTCGTGTCTTATAGGATCATAGGGGAGAGCCGCGGATTCAACTTGTACGTGGAAACCGCTGGCAGACTTTCCTCAGCAAGAAGTCGATACACCCGAGGTGGAGGGCTTGTTCAAGCAGCTGGGCGTTTTGCAAACAGATGGTCCCCGCTTCCTCAAGGACACGTAATGCATGGCTTTGCGTCCAGCCGCTGCAACATAACGAGAGTTTGAAGGGGAGGAGAGAGAGAAGGAAAAAGAGTAGGAGGAATCAGTAGGATCAGCAGTCTACGACAACTGCAGTCAACAACTTAATGCAGCCAGCACGACTTTAACGAGCAAGAACATCGGTATTGATATGGTGCCAGCAGTGTTCAAGAAAATGATAGTACGGATAGTACGTAGGCAGCGCACAAAGGGCAGAGGAAGAAGGCGAAGGACATGAACACAAAACACAATACCATGTAGGTGAGGTCTAAGGGCAGCCAGACAGCGAGATTTCCACGGATGCAAGTCCGGCTGAAGGACATCCTGCTGCCTATGCTCACAGCTGAAACCCCCGCCGACGTCACACAGCTTCTCGCTGCTACTCAGAGAGTACGAGCCATTCTGGCAAGCATGAAAGCAGATCCTTGGACTAGCTTAGGGTTTAGGGTTTTTAGGGTTTACCAGGCAACCTTGCAAGCAAGCCTGCAGCCAAGGGTTTTAGGGTTTAGGGCATCTCGCAGTTTCAGGAAATTTATGGGTTGAGGTTCATTGACGACACGAAGCAAGTGAGGGCTTCCTTTCGGCTTTCTACCTGGAAGTTCATGGCTAGTTGTAAGTAGGGCTTTAAGTAGGGCAACTATACTTATCACCTATGTTAGGAGACTCAAAACCCCACTTATATACCCTAAACCTGAAACCCTCATACCACCACTGGAGTCGGCCCTCAGGAGCAGAGGAAGAGTGTCATTCCTGCTCTCGCTGAGAAGATGTGGGTCGCTGTGGATGTGTTTCTTAGATCACCTAACCTTTAAAGGGATCTATAAAGGGTTCATTCCTTTAAAGGGATATGCCTTGCCTTTAAACTTCTAGGGTGCCCAGTAGTGCCCTTATTCCCTTTTTGGTAGTCCTAGGCTACCTAGGTTCCTGATAAAGTTACCCAATACCAAAAAGGGAGCCCTTCATATTCCAAGGTTACTGGGCATCCTAGACTTTTTGGGTTCCTATAGTTTAAAGTTTAGTATGAAGCGGAAAGTTTAAGCTTGTACTTCTGTGGCTTATGGGGGTAGTAAGGTTTGACAGAAGCTCGAGGCAGCTCCGAACCCTTATGCAGCCGGTTCGACTCTTGTCTGCTCTAGGATCTAGAGCAGGACCCGAGTTTAAGCTGTCTGGTTCTGTCTGCTAAGAGGGTGGAGGGCTTACAGCCGGCTGCGAATGTGAACCGTGTTTTGAACAACATCCGAGGAGTTTCTCAAGAAGCTGTGCACATACACCACTTGCCCGTCTCAATCCTAGCACAATGGGTCGGGCCGCAGTGGTTCACACCAAGCAAGTTTTACAATGCCTCTGCCGAGGACCCGGACTGGCCCTGTCAAGAATTAGGAAAGCTCGCCCCTTGCACGGTTTAGGGGTGTAGGATATAGATTTATGGGAGTTTCCGGAAATCAGGGGTACCTTATTTTGGGATCCTTATAGTAAGGATCCTACTATTTAGGGTGCTAGATTTGGATCCCCTGTTTTCCGAAACCCCCATTTATACCAGCACATTCCACCAAAGCCTGTTCTAAGCAAAGCGTGCGTGCACCTTGAGCCCAAGCAAGGACAGGAGAGCCCAATACCGCGAATATGGCTTATAAATCATAATATGAAGCCCCTAATGATTTAAGGTATATTCCATAATTAAGGGATATTGGGCTCTCTGGGGACAGGATAGCAATCTTCAGTTCATCTGGACGCAGTACTCACATGTACGGCGGAAAAGAATTTTGGAGTTCGGGTACACGATTTAGGGCTAGGGTGTTCCAGCCCAGTTCTCCTAGCGATCGAAGCGAAACAGTTAACCCCTAAACCCTGTATGCAGGACCAGTCCAGCTTTACATGGCCACAGTTTTGGCAAGAGCTTGGCTGTTGCCCTACGATCCACGTGGAGACGACAGGATGGCAGCAGTCCTAAACCCTAAACTCTAAACCCAAACCGTCCCTAAATCCTGAACCCTAAACCTTAAACCCAAACCGTCCCTAAATCCTAAACCCTAAACCTTAAACCCAAACCGTCCCTAAATCCTAAACCCTAAACCTTAAACCCTAAACCCACACAGTCCCTAAACCCCAAACTTAAAACCCTATCATGTCGGGTTGAATGCCCGGTGAAGGCTTTTGAAGTTTAGGCTTCGTGGCCGCTGTAGCTGACTGACACGGAGGCACGGTTTGTTTGAATCCAGAGCCTCGGTTTAGGGTTTAGGGTTTAGGGTTTACTACCCACATCCTGTGTACCCCAGCAACCTACTATTTCGGCAACTGGAGCCCTAGGGATTTTTTTGAATCCAGATGCAGGAGAAAGCAAAGACTTTCGCAACATCTTACAGACTTTGGAGCGGATTTCGTCAACGCCTTCTCTTGGTGGAGCTTTCGCACAGAAACTAGGCTTTGGAATACCACACTATACTACTTCTTTCTTAAAGGAACCATTATGAAATACAAGTGTATACTTTTGTCTCCCTGCTCTAGTACTTGTTTCTTAAAGGAGTTTTTCTTAAAGGAACCATTGTGAAATAGAAGTCTATATATACTTTTGTCTGCTTGGTTACTGAAAAGCCCAGGAAAGCAGCCTCAGAGCTGGTGGAGTGGATGACCCCGCATGGCTTCTACTACAAGCGCTTTCTGGTTACTTGGAGGTTCATGGGTAGTTACAAGGGTTCCTTTAAGGGTCACTTTAAAGGGATCTGTATATAGGGATTCTATAATATTAAGGTATAGGGTTTAGGGCCTACTTGGATTGGAGGTTCATGGGTAGTTATAAGTCGGGTTATAAGTCCCCTAATATTGGCTTTTTTATACTTACCCTATCCCTGAACCTCCGAGTAAGGATGGAGTTGCCAGTGCAGGCTCGCCTGCATCAATGTCAATGTCCGACATGCTTCGCAGCTCACCCTGGCTGCCTTCTTGGCCTGGGGATCGTCTTCTAACCTTCGGTAACCTGGGTTTGGAGTACCGTACTTGAATACTTTCTTGGGGGGGTACAGGTTCCTTAAAGGAGCCATTATGGGATAAAAGTCTATACCTTTTCTGTCCCTGGTTACTTCAAAGTCCAGGCAATGGTTGGGTCCCCGTTCCGGGACAAAGCGAAGTCACCGCGCGGCAGTCTAAGTTTCTGGCCAGCAGTGCCTTTCACAGCATCGTCCACCAATTCGCTGAGAAATGGCCGTTCCTACACCTGGCACAATGGCCCACTGCCAGAATCATCGTGCGCACGCTGAAGTACCAATCGAGCTTGCCAGAACCAGTTTGGAGCTCCGGGGAGATGGCTTATGTATCGCAGTTGCCCTAACCTTAGGGGTGCTTAGAAATAACTTTTAGTTTTGGGTTATTATAATCCCTAAGAAACAGCTAAAATTATGACTTTATAGTAACTCAGACGTTGAAATAGGCTTGTTGGCTTGGAGTGTAGTTTCTAAGAGTTGGGGTGTTTAGTTCCTGGAACGTCGGGAACTCAGGTATACAAGTCTCTCGGCTGGGCGCTCAACCACGAGCGCATCTCGCGCACAAACTGGGGTGCTGAGCCGACACCGGAAGCATGTGAAGTTCGTGAGCACCTCCTTCAAGAGCCATGGATCTTCCTGCCCACACGTAGACGGGGCAACTACAAAGTCCATGATGAAGAGGCTGGCAAATTCTACCCATCGAGCTCTGTAGCGCTGTATGATGCATCGCAGCTTTTCTCCGACAGAAGACAATGCAACAGCAGTGGTTACGAGTATGTCTCGGACGAGATGGTTCGGACCGTCTCTCAGAAGGTGTTCATGAGAACAGCGAAGGAGCACTACTCGGACAAGGTCGTCCAAGCTTTGTTCAAGGAGCCTGGAAGGGGTTTGCAGAAGAAGCTTTTAAACAATCTTCTATACTTGGAGGATCAGGGGACTTAGTAAGTTAGGTTATAAGTACCCTAATTAGAGTTATAAGTATAGTTACCTTATTTATAGCCCTAGTCCTCCAAGTAATCTATAGGGGAAGATAGCCGGTAGTTCCGAAAAAACACGCGCAGCTTGTTCCGGAAATGATGAGTTAGCCAGTTTCGACCTGCACAGATTTGTCCCGACATGGGAGTATCCGAAAATAGGGGACCCTAGTATAGCACCCTAAATAGTAGGATCCTTACTATAAGGACCCCTAGACACAGTACCCCTTATTTTCGGAAAATTCCGACATGAGGAATGGGGTGTCGCACCTGAAATGGGATGGGATGCCTACCTCGATGTGCTGCGGATGGTCGACGAGCTTGTGAATTCCGAAAGCCCTGATCATGTATCTTTGTTATAGTTTTTACATTTTCATAGGTACTTAAAACAATAAGGAATACAAAAATGGACATTTTGAATCATATCCCCACCATGGACTAGGTATGGGAGCACGATCATGCTTTGCACGAGATCGTGTGGCGGATTGTCAGATTGCTGGGCAAGCTTCCGGTTGAAGAGGATGCTGAAGATGGCAAAGATCGAGGCAACCTGGAGCCGTTTCCAACATCCCCAGCATGACACGCATCCTCTTCCCAGAGAGCCCAATATCCCTTAATATGGCTTAAATCAAAATATGAAGCCCCTAGCCATTTAAGGTATATTCAGTAATTAAGGGGTACTGGGCTCTCCGGGTCACTGCCCTCATTCCTCCATCATGACCAGGAGACAAGCTTGATGACAACGAGGCAGCTCAAGCAGATGAGGACAATCCTGAGACGCTTTCGGGAGACCGGCCGACTTAGGCGAACGTAAGCTCTTCTCTCTGATCCGACCCTAAGGTCGCTATCAGATATGTAGTCGTTGGGGGTGCACAATGGCCCGATCTAAAGTATAACTGTACTATATACACCCAACACCGTTTTCTAAGTATCCTGTTTGCGTGTCCCGGTTTAGGTACCTTCTTTCTGAATCACCACTTCCAGGCCCACTGTAGAACAAGCAACGACAATCCTAAACACCGAACGACCTGGCTTATGTCCTTAAGCCCTAAACCCTATGCTATTTATTCAGGCCCCTATGCTATATCCCTTATATAGTATCCCTTAAAGGAGCCCTTTAAAGGAACCCTATTCTTATTATTCAGGTCCCTATACACAAATGCCCCATTCCCTAGGAAGCACCCGGTGAGTTTTCCAGGACGCGGATTTTGACCGGGCTGGCGACTTCCGGCAGCTCGTGGAGGCATCGGCATTCGCGGTCTAGGATTTGGGGTTTGGGGTTTGGGTTTAGGGTTTGGGGTTTGGGTTTAGGGTTTAGGGTTTGGGGTCCAGATTTAGGGCTTGGGCTTGGGATTTGAGGTTGGGGCTTAATTAGGGTTTTCGTAGGATTTGAGGTTTGTGTATGGGCGTTGGCAGGGGTTGGGGTTCAAGGTTTGGGTAGGGTGTTTGGGTTCACGGTTGAGAGTTGGGTGTATGGCTTGAGCATGGGGATGCCTATGGTTGGTGTTCAGGGCTTGGACGGGCTTGACTGTGGTTGAAGAATGATAAAAATACGGCCCGGGTTATGGAATGTATTATCAGCATATTTTGAGACGTACGATGAGTGAGATACTTAGGTAATTAGGTATTCAGACTGCTATCGTGGTTTAGGGGCTTCATGGGGACTGTAGGATTTTGGGGTGCATCAGCTTCTGAGTTGCACCGGACTTAGTAAGCAGAGCGATAAGCACACGTGCCAGGTGCCATTTTAGGGTGTGGATTTCAGCGGGTCGGGGTTTGTAGGTTTTAGGTTTACAGCAAGCGCATTCCGGGTGTAGGGCTTGATCCTTGGCAACAGGTCGGAGGGTCAGTCCTGGCAGCCAGGATGCCCGGTTTCAAAAAAGGGGCTTGAGGGTTATTTTAGCATGATTCAGGGTTGATAGGTTCGAGCGTTTCAACGGTTTCGATCTTTTTAAGTAGCGTGTCTGCTGGCACATTGACATGTTTTCCCGTTTGATGATCTCCAGGCGTCGATACTCTTCTGACCTCCGGTTGGAAGTCTTCAGATTTGTCCAGGGCTCCGTTGCCAAGACCCTGCACCTTTCATTCTAGATTAGTATGGTATGTAATACCCAGAGAGCTCAATGCACCTTTGTGGAGGAATATGCCTTAGACTGCAAGGGGGGTAATATGGTGAGCTAGGCTGTATTCGTTAATTAGAGGTTGGTGGGTTTTCTTGGTAAATCGTGCACCCGAGTCGCGTCCTAGCCGCCTATTCGCGAGGAAGCCAAGAATCTCCGAATCGTTTGGACGTCTTCGCGGCGCTTTCGGAAGCCACTGGTCTCTGACTGCCTCAACGTCTTTTTCGTGGGTTTCTGTAATGTTCTAGCTGAGAGGAAAGCGCTAGGTGCGGTCCGCACGTGCTGCGGATGACTGTTTCTGCAGCTGCTCTTCACGACTGGCCGAGGCCCTGTGAGGTTCTGTTTGTCGCGGACGCGAAATCTTGGCTAGACGAGGCGCGGAAGAAGTGCCCAGACGACTCCATGCATCTTCTAAGCTCCCAATACAACCCTCCAGCCGAAGAAAGTGTGACGTGGAAAAGGCCAAGCACTTTGCGACCTATGCGAAGAACAACAAAGACATCATGAACGGCTGGTTCTTCCTGGGCCTTCGAAGTCCGAGTCTCAGTGTCTGTAACATACAGCGAAGAAAGCTTGTTCAAGATCAAATTCTGACCGGCCCCTAAACCCCTAAACCCTAAAATTTGTGAGCGACGAAACCCCTTCAAAGCCCTAAACCCCCAAACCCTAAACCCCAAACCCCTAAACGTCTAACCCCCGTCATCAAATGCACGCCGTCGCCCAGGATGGGAACCCTGGAGCACCTGCCAAAGCATTCTACCCCAGCTGAAGCCACCAGATGCCCAGCCTTCATTTATGTTGGTTCAGGTGACGAAGAGACTATTTTGATGATACAAGCCTTGTATTTAATATGATAATGCTATTAAATATGATAATGTTATGTTAAATAAATATAAATAAGCATATTGAATGTATTGGGTGATTAAGTTCTTTCCTTGAGACCGGAGTTCGAAATGGCACTCATCTTCATGGTACATTTTAGTAATCGATGTCCCTTGTGATCGGTTGGTTCTGACCACCCTTTTGGTCGAGGCAAACGGGGCTGCCCATCAGTCCTGGTTGACGGACGCAGTAAGGTAGGGGCTTCAATAAATAAATAGGGTTTGGGGGGTATGTTATACTATAGTTCTAACGAGGAATTCTATTTATTAAGCCCCTAAATTAACATTATAATTTACCCCCGCAGCCCTATTCAAATTGTTAAGGCCCGTACGCTAAGCTTCCTACGGAAGTCTACCAGAGTGAGCCGATACTATGCCACGATTCCGGATGCGTTCGGTCGGGGTGGAAGTTTGGATGCTTTCACATGTGCAAGCCTTCTTGAGTTGGCTTCTCAAACCGGGGCTCTTTATATATAGCACTTATAGAGCAAAACTTCATGCGATCTGTGTTTAATGTTAGATACATGTTTATATGCATGTGTCTGCCAGTATACATGTGTTCATGGTGTTTCCGTCTTGCCCTAGATAGCTCAGGACATTCACGAGGCCAGATTTGCGCGAGCCATTTACCTGGGTGGCGCACGGACCTTAGCTTCAGCGGTTGACCGTGGCTGCTCAACCACAAGTAGATAACTGCGCCACACTGTTGATGGGCAAATCCGGGATGATCCAGCAGGGGGAAATAACTGGCATAACGTGCCTATAAAGATGCGGACTTATGTCCATCAGCAGTAGCTCTGGCTACCTTCGCCAAACTCTGCATAAGCACGGAATTGAACATGGACAGGGTTAATTAAGGAACATACGTTAAACCCTTTAAGTCATTCCAGCGCTGTAAGTTCTGCATGTTCCTTAATTTTTACGGGGTTCTGGAGTGTTTGCAAGCTCCAGGTCAGAAGTGCGCTGATGAAATTTGAAGCGCAGAACAAGAACCTCACAGAGGAGGCCAGGGATGTGATCCGGAAGGCATGGTACCTGGCAATCTCAATCAAGCTCCTCGGACTTGCCTGCGGTTTTTTCCTGAATCTTCCGGCTTGTTTGCAGCCGCACCTGGCGGAATCTCGACAGGCCGACTATAGTTTTCCTAGTTCCACAGCATACGACGATTTTCACTGTGGATTCCAGATTCGTCCTCCACCCAGCGTAATTAGTCCAGTGGAGTCCACAGCCCAATCGAGTCCGATCGACTCTCTGTGTTCCGACTCTTCAGAGATGCGAAGCTCTGAAGACGCATCCCTTGCCCAGAGAAAGGAGGGACCGCATTAAAGATAAAACAACTTTCAGCAAGCCTGTAAAGCAGTGAGTATCGGCCAGAAAGTCGGAAGTAAATGCTAGCTTCGTAGCCTCGAGTGCGGGCGCTTAGATACATCCCACAGAAGCATAAACCCATAACAGAAAGACAGTGCTCAAACCCTGAAGCAACTCAGGTTACAAGTAGGTTGAAGCTTCAGGAAGCGATCTCTATACTATGCCGATCTCCAGCTCGAACCACTTACTGTAGGGAACTGATTAAGAAACCCAGGACCTATAACCCCCAATTTATTAGGGTTCATATAAGGTGCCCAAATAGAGTCCAGGCTTTCTTTATCCGGCCCCTACATTCCCACAATCACCTGCCACTAAACCCTTAGCTGCCGTAGTCCTTCTGACTAGCAAACCAGCAGCAGGAAAAGTTATCTTTCAACGAAACACGTCGTACTTCAACAAATCCTAAACCCCTTAACCCGAAAATCAGTTTTCGATCTCAGGTTCTTCGTTTGCAGCGGCCATTCGAAGGAGGAGGCGCTTCAGGCCCAGCAGGCGGCCGAAGCTTCGGGGTGTACCTTAGGGGTACTTAGAAATATTATGATCCCTAAGAAACAGCTAAAACTATAATTTTTGCTAGGGTTCTAAGTTCAGTAAAGGTACTACAAAAGCTTTACTGGGTTTTGGGTTTAAGGCTCAGGGTCTCGGGGTTTAGGGTTTAGGTTTTTTTGTTAAGCCCATGCTGACCGGGTTTAGTATTGATGAATAGTACTCTTTCGTATGCATATTTATGCTATACTGTGGGCTCCTGACCATGAAACACAACATACCCCGAAGCTGGTTCAAGCTATGAAGGCCGCTAAAGTATCAGGCCTTGGGGAGGGTGCAGGGATGGGGGTTTACAGAGGCCTCAGGTTCCAGGTTTGAGGATACATCTACTTGAAGGCTCATGGGACTTAGTAAGTAGGGTTATAAGTAGGTTACAATTAGGATAACCCCACTTAGGGGACTTAAAACCCCAATTATAACCTACTTACTAAGTCCCATGATCCTCTAAGTAGGGTTTAGGGTGGAGGGTGGCAGGTTCGGGTCTAGTCTTTCTTCAAAGCAGGGGACAGAGGGGGGCTCTTGCTGTAACCGGGCTGCTGGACAACAAGGCCTGCTGCAAGAAGGTCTAGTCTTTCGGCATTGTGGTCTAGACTTGGTTTGGGCGCAGAAATTATGGTTCAGACTGCAGACATAGAGGCTCGGGTTTTAAAGTGGTACAGGGCCATAAATCAAGGTAGCTTAGGGGTATAGTATCCCAGGATAAGCTGGTATCATCACATCCTAGTGGGACCTAGAAGTTTTGGGTGGCTGGCTGTAAGCGATACGGAATCGCGTCTAAAGTTCGGGCTTGCAGCGGCTTAGGGCAGAATATGTATGCAGAAGCTGCGTAGTTGCCGTTCTGATTCATGATGCTCGGGAGTGGATGTGAGTCTGAATGCCCCCATCAGAAGATCTTCAGCAGAGCTCTGAGCATATGATTGCAATGTTTTGGTGGGCTGGAAGTGGAGCTCTTTTCTTGGTATGTTGCCGTGATTGTGGGCAGTCCAGGATATATTAAGGTGATAAAGTTCAGGTTTCAGAAGTATCCAAGGAGACAAATGGTGTGCCTCCCAACTTCCTGCCTCAAGCTCCTGCATTCCCGTTAAGGCGTCTGCATGAATTTTTGGTTTGTGGCTTAGGGTTCTTGCGGTTTATCAGTTTCACAACCCTGTTGAGGGTCCGCTTACCTCTGGCATTCCAGCTTTGCATTCCAGAACAGGCAGCCCGGTTTTTACACTAGCAACGGGGTAAAGACTGTGTTGAGGAGATGCCCAACAGAAGAAGTGTTAGTTTCAGCACGCTTCATGAACTGCTTCCAAGCTTCTTGGTTGTCTGAACACTAGTCCAAGCGGTCTTGTTCCAACACTTCGCAAAGAACAAAGCATCTGGCAGTGCTTTTCTGGGCCTCAGGTGATTGCTGTACCTCGGTGTCGAGCACAATCAATTGGCAACGTGGTTGCCACAGCCACCGACAACATTGCCAGTACGACATTGGTGACGATGCGAGAGGATATTGCCGTGGCACGCGTTGAGAAGCCGATCTTCAAGACACACATGGCAGGCTTCATACTGAGACTAGCTTGCATCTATGGTCAGCGTTTTCTCGTTATGATGCTTCCCAATTTGAAGCTCATCCTACGCATAGGGACAAGATTGTTTGTCATGTTTGGCCAAGTTGTCGCAAGAATCGTGCGCACTTTGGGTACAGGGGGCATGGCATTGCTATCTAGATGTCACCATTCACCTTACTTTTGAGAAACAGAAACGGGTATTCAATTAGGTGTCGGCGCTCCGGCATCCATTCCCCAAGGTCGGAGCAACGACGACAGCTTGCAATCGCCCTGCACGTACCACCAAAAGCCTACGCAGCCGATGTGTTGCAAAAGCATCCTGAATTCGCCGAGATGCTCTTCGCCGAGTTGCCCCATGTTTGTGATGTCAGCTGCATTCCGGAAGAAGCATATACTGGTCTGCAAAAGGAGGTGCCTGAATCAAAAACCTGTGTCCGAGCAAAGTCCTCTAGCCTCAATTGTGAAAGTGCTTACAACGCCCCTGACTCTTATCTCTCAGCCCTGCAGGCAGTCAAGACTTTGCAGAATGTTTCCTGGGATATGTGGAGCCAGGGGACCCGCGGCAAGAATGTACCGCAGACAGGTGACATCATCAAGGCGGTGGAGGACTGCACAGGGTGCACTTCCAGTCGGGTGGTTGTCAAAATTATAGTCCCTTTTGGGGTCCTTACTATAATACGGCGCCTAATATTTAGGGTACCCAAAAGGGTCAAGGGTCCATAATGTTGACAACTTCCCAGTTGAGACTCGTACCGGGGGTTAGAGCTGTCAGAGATTCACAGATATATCCCCCATGTTGTACTGGAGGGCCTTAGTAGGATTCAAGATATACTGCTTAGCTTAGTTCAGGGGTTAGGAAGTCTATGGGCGATCATCAAAAGTTGTCCACCCTGAACCCTACCTGAGGCCTTGAGAAACCCTGAGCTTTAAACACTGACACAGCGAGGTCGAATGGGTCATTCCTCCAAACGCTAGAACTCGAATGTACTATGGGGGCCTTAATATTTACCTACATTATTTTGTGGCGGTCCTTCTTATAGCAATATACCCCAGAACCCTATTCTATTTACTATTATAAGGCCCCTATATTATATCCCCTTATAGTATCCCTTAGCGGAACCCTTCAAAGGAACCCTATTCTAACTTTTAAGGCCCCTATATAATATCCCTTATAGTATCCCTTAAAGGAACCCTTCAAAGGAAACATATTCTAATTATTAGGGCCCTTATACTAAACCTCCATAATACCCCTTATAGTCACCATTATAGGCCGTTTTTAAGGGCTCCTTATTAAACTTATAGTATAGTATATACCCTGTTCTAATTATTAAAGTCTGTCTCCGGTGACAGTCCTGGGAAGGCGATGTGCTTGACTGTTTGGTGCTTACTAGGAAATGGGGGCATGGATGCCAAAAGTAGCCCCAATAACTGTCCCCATAACCCATTCCCCCATTGCCTACTGAGAACCAAACAGTTACGGTGCAGCTTTCACAAGGACCTCTCGACTGAGTTGCAGTTGAAAGTCCGATTATTCTTTTAGGGTTTAGCGTTTAGGGTTCGTGTAGTCTGAGGAAGGCTCTGCCAGAGAGCTTCGCTGCCGGCATACACTCCAAGTCCGTGCTTATAAAGGGTTTGTGTAGTTTTAGGTGTCTTTAGGGATCAGGGATTTGAAATTTGGGGGAATTGCCTTATATAGGCATGCTTTCACTCAGGGTCTTGCTATTTAGGAGCGAGAGATCTCCCCTACTTCCTGAGACCCCGACATGTTGGCACAAAGTACGCGAGGTTGGGGTTTGATATGCAGAACACCGGTTTGAAAGGCCTCCCACGCCAAGCCTGAAGGCCCCAAAACCTGTACCTAGTAGTAGAGTAGGTAACCTGTAGCCTTTTTTGGGGAGTATAGGCCCTATATAATCCCTATATAACCAAAAGGTTAACCTTTAGTCCCCCAAGATACCCGACAAGTAGGTGTAAAAGAACATCTACAAGCTGCAAGGACTCCTTGAAGAGGCAAGCCGAAAAATGCCGGCTCTCGCGAACGCAACAGCGCACATGGGGATTGCAAGCAGCATTGGAGATCGATCCCGAAGAGGCGTCTTGGTTTAGATTTTTCGGAATAGGGTTCTCTTCCGGAAGAGTCTTGTAGAGCTCTGAGGTTATGCGAGGGCTTGATATGACTTTGCAGCGCACTTCTCATGAGAATCAGGAGTTTAGAGCGCTCATGCAAAGCAGCATGAGTTTACAGAAAAGCTTGTGTCCGCTTTAATTTTTGTCCCTGTAGGACAAAAGGAAGACCAAACATCAAGACTTCTGTGGTTCCAGTGAGGCAGTGAGGCATTTATCCCCCCAATGGCAGCACTTAGAGAGGCGTGGCGACGACTGCTGGAGGAGGAAGACTTGTTTCAGACTGAGGAAGCAGAGGAGGAGAAGACCTGTTCATGGTTAGGGTTTAGGGCATCCTGCTGCTTGATTATCGGTGATGTCTGGAACACGTGAGATTGAAGTTAGTCTTTGGCTGCCTCTCTGTATTTTCCAAGAGTCGCCTGGACACGCGAACATAGTTTGTAGGAGTTGGCTGAGGTTGTATCCAGGGGCACCTTCGCGGGTGCTGGGTTATGCACCTGGTTGCACCTCCAGACTCCCTGCTTAACCGCAGCTGTGCGGCCCGTAACTGCAAATCAGCTACAAGCGATGCAAGCTTATGTATTAAAACCGAGAAGCCGGCACTTGCAACAAGCGCAAAACTCCTCAGGAGGTGCAAGCCTCCCAAAATTCGTAGCACAAGAAGGCTCTGCAACCCCCTGAGCCCCTCAGGCAACATATTTCATTAGTATTTCTCAAGACTCCTTGTTACAGCTCTGGTTCCAACACCCCTCAATTAAACCCTATTCATCACTAAGGCCACAAAAGGGAGTTTCCGAAAATAGGGGACTCCTAATATAGTACCCTAGATAGTAGGATCCTTATCATAAGGACCCCTAAAGAAGGTACCCCTAATATTCGGAAACTCCCAACCCCTTCTACAGCCATTTGAAGGAACCCTTATAGTAACCCTTTAAAGGAACCCTTAGAATACCCTTGTAGTAACCCCTTTAAAGGAACCCATTAAGCCGAAGACAGCCTTGGTCAGGAGGAAAGCCTTGCTTCCGGCGCCGGGGCCGGCCAGGGCGCCGGAGAGCATCGCGAGGGCACAGCCGTGGCCGCAGGGCTTCACTTTGGATGCTCTGATACAGCCCACTATGGTAAGGGCTCCCAAATAAGGTGCTGCTCCTTCAAGCTGAAACTCCCAGCATGAAGAGTCGAGCACCTGACATGCGTCACCTAGCCCTAAGCGTCGAAACCACAAGAGTATGGGTTTAGGTTTTATTGTTTTGGGGTCAGCGGTCAGCGGGGCTCGTACAACCCTCTCACATTCCACTGCAGGCAGGCTCGGGCCCTGCGCCCCCGTGTGACGAGCGTCCCCGGGATGACGATGCTCTCAGTGCCATCAGTGAGGAGGCCGATGTGGTTTCCCGGGATTCAGGAAGTCTGAGCCCATCGTCGCTAAGCAAGTAGTGCAACCGAAGTTACTATCCGTTGATTGGGGCCTTGCATGTACAACACAGAACAACTGCCAGAAACTTGAACAATCAGAACCCTGACGCCGACAGGAAACAGCAAAGGAAAGCCCGGATGAATCTAGACCCCCTGCAATTGCGAGCCTCATTTTTGGGGATGGCTATCAGAAATCTTCCTGAAGCACCGGGTTGATCAAACCGTCGGGTTTTGCGTCAACTCACGTTCCAACCTCCTGGAGGAGCCTCTACGCTCTTCAAAGGGTTCCTCGCCAGAGCATTATAGGATCCTTAAGGGAGGGGGGTTCAAAGGGGGGAGGGTACTAGGGAACCTTAGGGAACCTTTGGGAGTACTAGGGAGAAAAAGGAACTATTGGGTTATATACCCCCCTTGGACCCCCCTCCCTTAAGGATCCCATAAGAGCACCCAGGTCCGAGCGATGACAACGGTATAAAACTCGTGGTTCGCGGTTCCTGAAGCCGTCAAAAGCCTCGCAGAAACACGGCAACCTCCTGCTGGCCCTGCAGATACCCTGATTATAGAATCGCTGTCGGAGCCTTTTCAAACCCTCATAGAACCCTTGCAAAACCAGCACTTCTTGGGATGGACTGGCAGTCGAAATCCGATTCTATCGAGCCCTTTCCCAAAGACGCAGGGCTCGGATGCAAATGAGGACCCACTGCGAAAGCTCCTCGGCTCAAACGGTTCGGGCCCTTGATGCTTTGGGGTTTGTAGGCTCCGTACCGCAAGTTTCCCGAGTATTCTCCGTATGTGCGACTAACTTTCGAGCCGCTGTGCGTAGTTGCTTAGCCAACTTCCATTCAGAGTTTGAGCAAGTTTAGGGTTTAGGGCCTGAGAGGGTGGAGCAGGCAGGGGTATTGGTTTTAGGCTCTAGGGGTCTGGGCTTCTTTGATTTAGGGTTGAGGGTCTAATATTTCCGGCTCAGGCGGCATATCCGTTGTTCTCTAACTGTTCGCTAGCAAGTTAATGTAGGAGCGTTAGCAGGGATCCGAGGTTAACCACCACAAAGAGGGGTTGTAGGCAAGGGTTGCAAGGGCACCAGTGACATACATGTATACATACATGTGTACAAACATACAGTAGGTAGATAGATAGATCAATATAATAGTCACCTGCGTAGTAATTAAAAGCGATTGCAGAGAGCAACACCAGTAAGAAGCACGGTTCAATCAGTCTTGTCGGAGGCCAGGCGCCATCACGTGACGACTTGCAAGATTTCGAGCATCGCATGAGTCTCTAAGGTCTCTGGAATAGTGGACTGAAGAATGAAATGGGCTGGGTACTGCCCGCATACTGCACCAGTTAGATATAATGAGGCACATGTGCTGCCATACATGTATATATAGCCCTTAATATGACCCCTAACAAAGACTGTTACAGGGCCAGGACGGGGGCAGTACCCAAGAAATTAAATGTAGCTCGAAGGTTTTCGCCCACTGTAGTTCAAATAGAAATCTTGTCTTGTCTAGACACCCTATCCTAGTAGTAGAGCAGGTAACCTTTAACCTTTTTGGATAGTATAGTCCCTATATAATCCCTATAAAACCAAAAAGGTTAATCTTTATAGTTCCGGACAAGTAGGTATCTTGTCTAGACACCCTACCGAGAATCCATGGCAAGGTTCGTGAACAGACAACTGGCCACTTGCTTGCACAGGCTGTGAGTGCTGTCGGAGGCTGATGCATCAGGTTCTCTGCTTGTGACTGCTCTTGTTGACTGTATGGAAGTTACCGAATATTCGGGGTACCTTATTTTGGGCTCCTTATAAGGATCCCCCTGCGAAACCCCCATATATCACCGGGGGCCAGGTCACTGGTCCTATCATTCGGGTTGCGCCTCCCTTTTGTACAAACCGCCACCGCGGATTCCCGGCGGAGCCTGGAAAGGCGGCAAATCCTTCGCAACCCACAACCCCAAACCCACAAAACGGGTTCAATTTGAAGCCTTAAATTAGGGTTTAGGGTTTAGGGTTTAGGGTTTAAACCTCTGACTCACCGACGCCACATCAGATCAGGGTTCCAGGCAGCCGTGCATCGGCTCTTTCTAGCACTGAACCTCCCTCCCCGGAGCTGTGGCCCTGACTGAAATAGATATAGGGGCCTTAATCTTTAGAATAGGGTTTTGGGGCCCATTTTACTATAACCATAATAAGGGTCCCTAAAAATAGTATAGGTAATGGAACTCTCGTCGTAGTGGGCGGTAGCTGAAGGATGGTTGCTGCGCGAAGCTGGTTCGTTGCATACGGATTTAAAGCTGCGGGCTCAGGTGCTTAGGCATCCATAAAAGGCAAACCCGAGACACTGAACCCATGAAGGGGCGTGGATTCAGGATCTAGTTTCATAATGTACACCCCAAACCCTATTCCAATCATTAATTAAGCTCCGTACACTCTTTGGAAACACTTGCTGGTGGGCCTGAAAGAGCCCTATAAACACCCGTATAAAGTTCATAAACGCCGTAGTCTAATCCGTTAAAACCCCTGTACCGCCTACACCCTTAAAAGAACCCTATGTGTTTTCAAAACCCTTTGCTTGGAACCTGAACCCTGAATCCTGAACCCCAAATCCAAAACCCTGTCCCTCATTTTGCGTTACAAGGAGAGGGAAGAAGAACGACAGCGGCCGGCAGTGCGACCCGTCTCGGCGTCTTGGGCAGCGACTTATGTAGACTGCTCTGGTTGTGTTTTTTCGGTGGGGGTTTAGGGGCTAGGGTTCCGTTTAGGGCTTATAGGTGTAGAACATAGTAGGACCACGTCGGGATTATGGGTCAGTATTGAAACATACTACTACGTATTCAGACCCCTCTATAACATTGAGCCTTTAAAAACCCAGACTCCCGGGAGGATCCAAAAAGTAGATCTCTGAATGGCGGTTCCTATAAAGTACCCTAAGTAGTATAGGCCCCAAATTGGGGGATCTACTGTCTAGGTCCTGCCGGGCTGCCGGGGGTCTGGGAAGGTGTTTGGGATTCGACTCATGCTCGATCCACTCAGGGGATGCAAGGCTTGCAGATATGTGCAATTCTCGGGGGAGCCTTGCACGCCCGCACCCGCCCCAAGTCCTAAGGGGAAACCCCAAGCCCCTCCTATCCGAAAGCAGCGAGGCTACATGCCGTGAGAGTTCAGGGCAGCCCTGTATCGGCTCTCGTAGCGCTGAATGTCTCATTTTCCTGTAGCACCTTTTGGCCGGCACCTTCGTAATAGCCGGTTGTTGAAAGACGGGGCTGTTGAGAGACTCTTCTGTTCAAGGCTGGGCTTCTGCAGGGCATGAGGGTCTCAGGCTTAAGCGAAGTTTGCCTGTTCCAACACACGGGCCTTATCACTCCGAGTGGTATCCCGTAGGGTTCCTTTATAATATGTTTATAAACCTGGAGTATAACAATCCTATTTTAATCATTGAGCTTTCGATATTGAATTCCAGGTAGTCACCCCTTAAGTCGATCCATCAGGGAATCCTTACATGATCCCTGTTCTACTGGTTAACGCTTCTGCATGACTTTGAAAAAAGAGAGGTATACCACCCAATGCCCTGTTCTAATCAGTAAGGCCCGTTTAAAACCCTTTTGCGTAACAGAGCCCGGGAAGGAACTTTATTCTGAACACTTATTAGTGTAGATTACTTGGAGGTTCATGGGTAGTTATATGTGGCCTTGTAAGTCTCCTAATATGGGTTTTATAGTATAAGTATATCTACCCTACATCTAAGCTGACTTATAACTACCCATGAACCTCCGAGTAGAAAACCCTAAATGCCCTAAACCCTAAAACCCCCTAAAACCCTAACAGCCCTAAACCTCTCGGATTCTGCGAAGCCGAAAAGGGTCGTGAAAAAAAAAAACCTAAACCCTAAACCTTTTGTGTGGGTTACAAGGAGAAAGAGGAAGAAGGACAGCGGCCAATCGGCCGACCCACCGCGGCGTCTTTGGCACCAACTTGGCCTTCACCGTTCCTGTCTCGGGGTAAAACGAACTACGCGTTCCGTGTGGGGGCCTCTATAAGGGTTGCTATACTTGGGTTTAGCATGGGCCTTCCTGATGAGAGCAGGGTAGTAGGGTCGCAGTATAGTTTCACTATATATAAGCTACGGCAACTAAGCCTAACAGGGACTGCAATGGGAATTGAAATAACCTACAGCCTCTAATCACTCTAATCAACGGAAGCTGAGCCAGGGATACATCACACAAGTTGTTTTTGAGATGTGGGGATAATTTTCATTAGGGTTCAGGGTTTAGAGGTCTCAGGGCTTAGGGCCTGGTTTAGGAGAGTGGATCCAGGTGCCTGGCTGAATGAGTCAAGGCAAGGATAAACACCCAAGGGCATGTGCACCGCAGCCCCTGCTCAAAAAAAAAAACCTAGTTTAGGGTTTTAATTGGCACGCCTCCGGGAAAAAACATCACTTTCCCAACTCCTGCAGCCTACAAGTCTCCATCTTCCCAAAATTTGAGGCTCCTGGATGTGTTTTACAGCTTTGGCGGGTTTCAAAGATCGGAAGCAGTGCTCAGGAATTCCCTTCGTCGACGCCGCACGGTCCGCCCGTTCAGGGTGGACAAGGCATCTTTCGTGCCATTTGGGTGGTTGTCAAAATTATATTCCTGTTTTGGATACCCTAAATATTAGGTGCCGCATTATACAAGGGACCCAAAAAGGGCCTATAATTTTGACAACCACCCAGTTCGGTTTAGTCAACCGTTCTCCGTGTGATAGAGGTCTTACAGACTGAGCCTGTACCATTGTGGCCTAAATAACTACCAATACTCTTTTAGTGCTTCCTTGTTATAATTTAGTAGAGCATTTTGGGCCACACAACCATATTCCATGATTCAGGCCCCTATATTCTGTGTCGGGGAAGTGGTCGCATAGTCTGCAACCGTTGGCAGGAGAGGGTCGTTACGTCTGCCAACGGCACCCCACGGTGTGGTCCAGGGTAGCCAGCGAGAAAGAAAGCCAGAGACGGCCGATGCGCTAAACACCCAACACCAATCGTCAAAGTGTCGAACCAGCCCGCCTGAGCCGCACAAAACTGAGTGTCAAGTCACCCCAGCTGCAATCAGATTTGAAAGGCTCAAAGCCCAGGCAGTTGCAAATCTGCACGACCTGCATCCAAGAACAACTTCGCATCCATGTACGGCTGTGGTTCGACGCTACCTGTAGCCTTCAGTTTTGAAACACGGAACCAACAGCCAGATTCGGATTGATGTTGAATCTGGAGTGGTTGGTTTTGGTTGAGCTTAATAGCGCTATGGCTGGGTGGCGTTTTCTGAAAAGTATGGTACCTCCTGCGGGGCTTCAATCGTCAAAGACATCCACGGTGGCTTACCCAAAATCCCTCATAGAACCCCTCATCGGAATCGGAACCCATTGAAGCCCTGAGTGTTTCCATCCTTCCGGTTATTTATTCAATCCCTGACAGTAACCGCTAAAGTGAAAGCTTTTTTTTAATCCCTGACAGTAACCTTCAGTAACCCTTAAAGGAATCCCCCTCCAAAACGATCATTCTCCCACCCAGGAGTAGAGTAGGTAACCTTTAACCTTTCTTGGATAGTAAGTCCCGATATAATCCCTGTATAACCAAAAAGGTTAACCTTTAGTTCCCATGATACCCGACAAGAAGGGCCAAGTATCCTCCTTAGTGGCGTTCCTGGAGGTGGCTCTGGTTCTTGGGCTGGGCAGAATCCACAGCCCGTCCCGGGGGAAGAGCGAGGTGGGCGGCTCGTACCTGCTTGTACACTCTTGCTCTTGTTTTTGCTCTTACTTTTCTCCTACTCTTACTCCTGCTCTTACTCTCATTCTTACTCTTGCTCTTAATTAGTCTTACTCCTACTCCTCCTCCCCTACTCTTACTCTTAGAGCTCTTACTCTCAGCATTTTTTCAGATTTGCCGCAGTGCATTCTATGGCAAGGATTTTTCAGGTCGGGGTTGGCGGTGGGGGGTGCTGCACTTCAATATCTAAGATTTAAGACAATCCTTTCAAACTGGTTGCTGGTCAGTCGGGCCATGCAGGCTGGAGCCAGGCAAGCAGGAAGCAAAGCAACATGCCAGAAGCCGACGGCTGACTATAAATTTGCGAACTCCATCCTGAGACACAACAAGCCGGTAGCAGCAGCACGAATGGTAGTAGTAGTCGTCGTCGTAGCAGGAGCAGTAGTACTAGCAGCAGAAGCAGCAGCAGCACAGTAGTAGCAGCAGCAGCAGCAGCAGTAGCAGTAGCAGTAGCAGTAGCAGCAGCAGTAGCAGTAGCAGTAGCAGTAGCAGTAGCAGTAGCAGTAGCAGTAGCAGTAGCAGTAGCAGTAGCAGTAGCAGTAGCAGTAGCAGTAGCAGTAGCAGTAGCAGTAGCAGTAGCAGTAGCAGTAGCAGTAGCAGTAGCAGTAGCAGTAGCAGTAGCAGTAGCAGTAGCAGTAGCAGTAGCAGTAGCAGTAGCAGTAGCAGTAGCAGTAGCAGTAGCAGTAGCAGTAGCAGTAGCATTAGCAGTAGCAGTAGCAGTAGCAGTAGCAGTAGCAGTAGCAGTAGCAGTAGCAGTAGCAGAAGTCGTAGTCGTAGTAGTTGTAGTAGTAGTAGGAGTAGCAGTAGTAGTAGTAGTAGCAGTAGTAGTAGTAGTAGTTTAGCCACGCACTCCCACCATTGCCACTGCGAAACCCTAAAATGCCGAAAAGCCCCAACACCGTACCCCTGAAGCCTTGCACCCCAGAACTCTCACCTGGAAAACCTGGTAGCCTGAAATAATAGGCAACCGACGAAAGTCGCTTCTGATGTGTTGGATTTCTCAGCAGTGACGCTTTTTGTTTGGGGAACTGCACTGGGAATCGATTCAATCGAGAATATTCGTGTCGAAATGTTCGGGAAAAGGACGGTCGGGGCTTAAGGGAATGCAATCACTCGCTCGATGGCTTCATTTTCTCACCCTTCTCCAAGCAGATGCCTCGCCGCATTCACAAGGTACTTGTTAAGTGTCTGCTTGTGGACAGTCCGCCTGTTGACGGTAGTCGTCAGGAAGGCAATTCTTCCTATCCAGTCTTCGTCCATTTGGCAAGCATCAGCGAGTGGACTCCAGGTCCACACTCGATTTGTCTCGTAGGCGTGTGCCAGGGCTTCGGTCATGTGCAGAAATGCATGTAGTTTCGGAGTAAGCTTAAATCGTGTTTTGCCCTGCCGATGGGCAGAGTGAGCTATCTCCAGAAAGCTCTTCATGAAAGCCAATCCTGCTTGGGCCGCTCTGTGGCACCGATCTCGCGACAGCCATAGCCCCGAAGAGTACAATGTTTCGAGGAACTGGTTCGCCGAACGAAGTGCCGCCAAAATATTTTGCAAGTACGGGTCCGGGGCTGCAAGCTGAGCCACATGACTTTCGAAGTAGCTTTGCAAAAACGAGCAGACCGCTCTGGTGTCGGCCCCTTTGAACCAGGACCTGTGCCATGATTTCGGGACTCGCAAAAACCTTCCAAAAAGTATATCGATTCAACTAGCCCACAAAAAAAACTCTTTAAGCGGAAAAAGACCCCTGCAAAGGAACCCCGAGTCCAATCCAAGCAGCCCCACGGGAAACTGATAGTCACCCTTGAAAGCCAGGAGGTTCCTCGTCAAACCATCCATATGAAGAGGTATGTTCTTTGTCTTGCAGTGGGAGGCCAAAAGCTCATATATCGCATCAAGCTGAACTTGAAAGTTGCCATCTCCCACGAGTCCATAATCTGTAAGGACAACCTGAAATGACTTAAATTTACTCGTATATATACTGAAACCACATATACATACGTCTAGATGAACTTACTTTTACAGGTTATGGGTTTTAGTCTTTACTGCCGGTAACTTTGGTATACAAAAAGTTGAGGTTAGGATTCGCACTATATGCTTCCAGCAACAAGTCCACTGCCAGCCAGCTCAGCGAACACACCCTTGTGACAAGTGTGGAAGACGTCGAACCTGTGCATCAGCTCCTTCCTTGTAGATTGTGGAATTCTGCACAGAGGACCTTCTGTAGCCCAGGGAGCACGGGTCAGGTATGAAGATCTCCAAGCGGCATTCCGGGAGTAGTCATACGGGGGATAGTTGGTTTCCCCGGCTCGACAAAGATGGCAGAAACCACTTTTGTTCGAAGTCTTGTAAACTCCCTTCTTGGAGAAGTGACGTGTTAAGTGGCCAATTCGAGCTTGCACCGGCCAGTCGCCTTTGAGCCCAAGTGTAGCCACGTACATGATCATCTTCTCCTTGCCACATTGAACCGAGATACCATTGTAGAAGAGGTCTCTCAGTTCATCGGCCAACGATTCCAGAATCGAATCCAACACGAACTTGTTCTTCTTACTGTAAGAACGTTTCGTGCACACCGTATACAGAAACCGAGTGGAATATGTATTACCGGTGTAATTCAAACCCATGGCATCGTCAACGTCGTCAGAAGTGCTGATTCCAAACCCCATAGGAGACTGAAAGTTGATGATCATCACACCACTCTTCTTGAGCGTCTCGCCCTCATCTGCATGGATCTGCACTGGCAACACCTTGTCGAGACGATCGTTGTGCTGCTCGAATATGGCATGTCCAGCATCTTGATGGCGATAACGACTCCAGAATTCTTTGAGGTTTGCTGATCGGGTTTTCAGTCTCGTGCTACCCCAGAAAAGCTGTAGCTTCTTCTTATCAGCCAAAACTTGTAGCATGTCTGATATCTTCAGCACAGGATGCTGCTTTTCCTTGCCCAAATCAATATATGTCAATGGTACAGGAAGAGCCAAGCCTCGCTTCTGAAAGACTTTACCAGATTCGTTCTCATGGCCTGTCTTAGATTGCCGTCGTAGGTCAGAAAGTAAACCAGAGCTTGCAAGCTCGTTTGCAATATCAGGGTCGGCATCACGGCACTCGTCCATAAAGCCCGCAGCGATATTGCAGAGCAGCTTGTCGTTTACCTACAGGGTGGGAGTAGGGCTTATTCGTGTAGTATTCTCTTACAAACCTTATTGTAGATCCAACAATATACACAAACAAACTTAGAGTAATTCCAAGGCATCAGGATACAGTTTGTTGAACCCTTCTTGTTTGTGTAGGCTTTAACTCAAGATTGTTTCAAGGTTTCGAGATATTGGGGTTTATTTGAGGATACTGACTTGGCCCCGAGCTATTCTCTGAATACATGGATGTGTACAAGGACCCCGAGACTCGACGATTACATAGATTGATTTGTTTGGACCCCGGCACCCCTGATCCCCGAGCTTTCTGCAAGGCAGTGGAAGCAGCTCCAGGTTTGTCATCCTTCGGCGGCTTCTTGGCACCTGCAGTGCATCCAAGATAAGATTACAATCAAGGTTTCGTATAGATCAGACATAGCAGCGATACGACAAAGTGAGCAGGCTCTTGATTTTTTCGTCTCGTTTCATGTTGAGGCCCCAGGCTTCAGAGCTAATCGGATCCATTACGGATCCTCGCATACGTAGATGCATGCAAGCCTTGCAACCACATCGACGAACTGTTCGTGCTGTGGACAGAAGAACTTGCCCCCGGGACCCAGTAAGGTAGATATAGGCCGTGAACATTGAAAACCCTGACCCACTGCGACATTGCACTCTGCACGGGCAAGCTACTTCTTCGCCGGCTTCTTAGCAGCAGGCTTCCCCTTGGGGGCTGCCTTAGCTTTAGCCTTAACCTTCGGTCCTTTCACCGGCTCATCATCACTTTCATCGTCCTCGTCATCACCATCAGCCTTGGCCCTGACGTTTTTCTTGGACTTGCTGCGGAGAATCGTCCTGAGTGTTACAAAGTAAATAATTACATGGAGTCCCAGCAATAGCAAACTATGTTAGACATGTTTAAATAGCACGGAAGATATTGCACCCAAGATACCGTTTCAGCTTCTTCTCCTCCATCGTAAACCGACTCGTCCTGAGAAGCAAGGTTCACACAACATTGGGGCGACCGATATCTGCGTGCAAAAAGGCGGGGTGGACGATTGAGCCGGGGAACAACTTGTTCAGCTCCAACGAGTTCGCTGAGATTTTGTCAAGGGTCCTTAGATCGCATCACATTCATCAATCGAATAGGAATAGGGATTATCATTCACACTACCACGGGAGGCTATATAATAAATTGCACTAGGTTTCGCCTTGTCTGGCACAGAACCCGGGCCGTGCTCAGATTTAACCTCAGCAAGCTCATCATGGATCGCCATCAGCTTTTCGGATTGCCCCACAATGGTCTCCTGGGCCCTTAGTTCCATTTGAGTCTTCAATCTGAAGACACAGATGGGAATCAAGGAATCAACCAAGTAGCTTGTGGGTATCAGCATCCTTTTTGGCACGAAGGCTTTCCAGTGTAGTATCCATCTTGATACGGAGCTTCAGAATATCCGAAAGCATGGGTGGGATCCTCTCGAGTTCCTGCACGATTATTGGTAACACGGGGTGAAATCCTATGTAGATACACATGTAGAAGCAAGACAATACTCATAACCCCAGCCTCCCGAGCTGATTCAATCGCCTCTTCTCGGTTCTCCTTAGCCTTCCTTTCCTGCCTTTGTAGCACCGCCCTCTTGGAGGATCGAGACTTGGGGCTTGGGGTGGTTTTGCTCTTCTTCTTGTTCTTCTTTTTTTTGCTCTTCGTGGCGCTTGGGGCAGACTCCTCCTCGCCTGCAGAGCTAGAAGCATCATGTTCATCATCATCATCATCATCTTCCCGTTCGTAGTCAGGCTTCGGGGAATTCTCGAGAAGCGGGA